AGAGAGAGAGAGAGAGAGAGAGAGAGAGAGAGAGAGAGAGAGAGACAGACAGACAGACAGACAGACAGACAAAGACAGACAGACAGACACACAAAGACAGATAGACAGACAGACAGACAGACAGACAGACAGACACACAAAGACAGACAGACAGACAGACAGACAGACAGACAGACAGACACACACACAGAGAGAGAGAGAGAGAGAGAGAGAGAGAGAGAGAGAGAGAGAGAGAGAGAGAGAGAGAGAGAGAGAGACTGATTTGTGAGAGCGTTTGGCCCATTGAATATTTTGATAGAAAGTTCCAAGGCATCCACATTGACTATATAACGAGTCGTGCACTGTTGATACAACTCGGTAGGGGTCTGCCAGCCGTTTTTCGATACCCATCCGGCACAGAGGGGCAATAGACGAGCTGACTGCTCTCTCTCTCTCTCTCTCTCTCTCTCTCTCTCTCTCTCTCTCTCTCTCTCTCACTTGCACTGACCACACTGTTTGCCGGATACTGACTGACAGTGTCTGTTCTGTTTGTTTGCATTTTGGCGATCGGACCGGGTTTGGTCTCGGCTTTGCGGTGATGTCCTCGGCTCCACTTTGGGAAACTGCCAATCCGTCAGCGGGAATGTATCCTCAAGTTGGAAGCGTGCTGCCGCCAATGAAAGGGTCGAGATCAATGGTGTTGACCCCTCATGGAGAAAAGGTATTAACGTTGAAGCAGAGAAACAGATGAAGAAAAAAACGAAGAAAACAGTTTAGAACGATGAAAGATTGATAGGCTTTCATATCGCAGTGAATACATCTTCTTTCGAAATGATGTCGGAAGAAGAACATAGTCAAAAGACAGGCCACATTCGTTTCGCAAACCTTCTCCTTCTGCCAATCACTGCTCACATGTTAATGTCAATTGAGTTAATGACACTTAATGTTACTTGGTGACAATTTGAACTTTTTTAGTTTGTTGTAAGAGCGAATGCATTTCGCCCAAGATGAAGGACAGATTCTTTGATACCAATTTTCGACGTGGAAGCAGTTCGGTTGGAGAATGCATTTTGCGTCGTTGCAAGATGAATGACAGATTCCTTCATACCTATTTTCGGTCATGTCCCCGATGTGGGGTCATGAGATGACTTCCTTCTCCACCCAAATACAACTTAATGAGGTCATTATACCTGTATCTGGAGTGAAAGCTTAACGTCCGGGCTTTCTATTTGGGTGAAGAAGGTGGTCTCCAGGGTCTCTACTCTAGTCGTTCATCTGGGAGAAACAACTGGGATCCCTAATGTGGTATATATCCTCAGATGTCATCGATCTGCCTGTGCTGGTCGGTTTGGAAACGAATATGGCCTGTCTTCTGACTATGTTCGTCTTCTTTGTCAAAAAAGTCAGTATTAGTTGAGGGTGTGTCCCCTCCGGCATGGACTGCGAACGGGCCTTCTGGGGGTCTTTGCTGTTTTTGTTTTCTTTTTCCCCTTCCTTTCTGCTATACAACCTTGAGATATCGTCATAGACCTGACGGGCCCCAGGTAATTCAGAATTGCACTATTTTTTTGTATTTTAATTTTTTTTTTTGTATTTTAGTAATGTGAGGATTGAGCCCTTAAGAAGGGGCCTTGCCATGATGTACATGTTCTGGGCTAAGGCCCCAGCAAGCCTCGTGCCCGCCCTAAGTGAAGGCGGGCCAGCAAATCAACAAGAGCCCTCTGTGCAAACATTTCACGAAGTGGGGTCCATACAGTTGCAGCACGCCAGTTGGTTGGAGTGCACCGAGTCTCGGATCTCTGCAAATGTGGAAATCCCAGGGCCCCTGAGTTGGTTAGGCCCTGGGCACATAAACGTGAGGCCGACAATGCATGCTGGATATAGAGGCCGAAAATGCCAATGGGAAATCGGCCCACTATCTGAATCTGGCCGCAGGCCTTGATGAAAGAGGCGCAACTGCATCTCCCGGGCCCCAACTGCATCGGGCCTGGGTTCAGGTACTGGGGCCCAGACGCAGGCTGAAGGCAGGCCGCCCACACGCAACACTGGCATATAGGCAAGCAATGCGAGTGGGCAGGGGATCTTGGCCATTGCAGGCAATGCCGGCACGCTGCGCTAGTGCGAGCTGCTGCGCTGCGCTAGGCTGAGGTGCGAGACAGGCAGGCGCTAGGCGGTAGGGCGCTGCCTGTACACAGGGCGCTGGCGGCCATAGCCGGGCTGCCTGAGGGCGCAGGGGAGGTGAGGGCGAAGGTGGTTCTTCGGAGGTGAAGGGCGCTGTGTGGGATAACAAGGGAGAGTGTGGGTGGAGAGAGGGACGTACCTGGTGGAGGTGGGAGGTCGGCATTGGTGTTGACATCATCACTCGCTGGTAGTCAAGTTGTCTGGTTGCTTTCATACTGTAGTTGTAGTGATAGGCTGTAGAGTAGCTAGGGTGCCTGGCGCCATTCAAGAGAGAGAGCTACATTGGGTTATGCTGTTGGTGTTGCCCTGTTGGGCTTGGACATTGACTCACGATTCTTCTGTATCGTTCTCAAATGGATGGTTACTGGGTTCCATTGTGCTATTTGCTCTTGCTTTGACTACTTGGACTTCAGTGTGATTTTGCAATCTGGATTTCTGTGCTTCGTCCATATTCATGTTCCTTGCAGTAATTTTATTATATTATTTTACTCATCCTTTTTTTCAACAGTTCAGTGGTATACAAATTGAGCTTTTTTTATGGAAGTCCTTTTTTTTATTTTCAGGTTTTAACGAGTCTTCGGCTTCCATTAAGCATAAAAAAAAAAGTTAAAAAACAAAAAAAAGTTAAAAAACAAAAACAGAAGTAAAGAAATACGAACTTGAGTTCGAACTCCACTGGAAAAAGATGAGTAAAATACAACAGCCAAATAAGTAATTATAAATAATTAGTAATTACTAATTACTAATTACAAATAATTAGTAATCGTTAATTACAGACAGAATTCAATTCAATGGAATAAAGTGAATTGATGATTCAGTCACTGAACTGGTGTGCCTTCTTTTTTTTTTTTCCATTTCTTCGATTCAAATTTCAAACGCGTTTTTTTTTTTTTTTTGAACATGACTTTTTTTTTGTCTCCTCTCAACTTCTTTCTCGAGTATAGTTGGAATTTAATAATTTATTAATTAATTTAATTTAATTTCGATATTGAAGACCCTTCCCTGTGTGAACTTCAGGTGGCTTACAAGGTTTGATTCTGGGCAGCAAATTGTTTGACCCTTTTTTTTTTTTTCCTTAACGGTCCTGCCCCTTATGAGACCCCCTTTCGCTGATCTATTGTTGGACTTCTGTCTGCTGCACATAGGTACGAATTCATCCGCATTCGTTGAATTACAGACTAGCTGGGAGAATGTCCGACAGCGGAGGAGATGGAGGTAGTGCGAACCGCTCAGCAGGTGATAGCCCGGCAGCATGGCCGCTGATCGTCTACAACGAGATCACAAGAAACGACTCTAACGTGTGAGTGAAAACCCAAATGCCAATCGACTCCATTCGAACCCAAACGACTTATCTACTCCCAGGCGCCCAAGGGACCCACAACCTCCTTACAGAAAAGACAAGAAAAAGAAATCGCGAAAGAAAACCTAGGTATCCCAATTGTCGCTGTATCTGGACTGAAATTTGCCCCAAATACAGCTGTAATGAGGGGGCGGGGGGCGTCCTGTTCACACGGAGACAGCAGTGAGGCGCCTGTGGACCCACAATGTCCTTACAGAAAAGATGAGAAAAAGAAATCGAAAAAAAAAAAAAAGCTATGAGGGCGTCTGGACCTGGACGTCCGGGTCACAGCCTGTCAGGTAGTCCGGACAATGCTTTTTTTTTTTTTTTTAACTCGCCCCTATTTTTTTTTTTTTTAACTCGCCCCTACGAGTGTTAGTGATGCTGATAAGAGCAGACACCATTAGCACCTGGGGAGAGGCTCCATCTATTGGTGGGGAGCGTCACCTGCTGGAAAACGGGTCCAGCGTCCCATGGAAGAATTTCATGACCGGCCGGTCACCCGGGCGTGACGCCCAGGATACCCGGGCATGGCAAAAAAAACAAAAGGCGGTGGGGAAATCTGGGCTCTTTTCTTTTTCTGAGTGTTGGCTGTCAAGGGGGGGGGGGTTGGAGGGGGTATAAATTGTTTTTAAAGGGGCTAAGTGGGTTTAAAAAGGGGTGCGTTAGTGTGATTCGGTTATTTTCTTTTCTATCTTCAGTTCCGTGAGGAATTCTGACGTGACCCTCAGCGAAAAGTTGTTTGTATTGCGTTTTTTGTTTTTTTTGTTTTTTGGGTTTTTTTGGTTTCTTTGCGCTGGGGCTGCCCGGGACCCTGCCCGGGTGTCATGCCCGGCCGGGCACCCGGATGTGTACCTGGGCACAAGCTGGGTGCCCGGGCGCCCGGGAAAAGAGCCTAGCTGACAACCTAAAATATCCAAAAAAATAACAAATCCGACTCTCTTCTGGGTTCGAACTAGGGTAGCGGAGGTTTGTATTGTTTGCCTAATAATGAGGAAGATACGGGTTCGACTCCAAAACACCGACATGTAGAAGCGGTGGTATACGAGCCTGAAGGGAACGCTAACGCAGGTCACGGGTTCAAAACTGAGCGGAACTTGGACGATATGTAGTATTGCGACCGAACCGTGGGTGCGAGGCGCAGCAGAACCGAAGGACAATGCAATACGTAGGTCTTTTTCCAGTTACCAAATTGGCGGGACGGTGGGAGGTAGGATTTTGACTAAGATTCTTTGATTTTGACGAGAAGAGGCCAGTATATACGATGGGGAACCGTCGTAGCAAGTCCTTTCTTTCGCGAATGGATTGACATAGTCAAGCGACCGAGGAAGGATACGTGTGTGGGTGCGAGGCGCAGAACCGAAGGACAATGCGTAGGTCTTTTTCCAGTTACCAAAT